AGGTAAGGTTTATCTGAGAACAATTGGTCTTTGCCCAAGATTTATCTACATGACACACAGTAATTAAAAGCGACAGACTGGTGGAACTAACCTCCTTGGATGTTTAACAGACATATCTTGAGGCCTATAATAATTTTGTCAGAGGGACATAAAGGATAGTTTTTGCTCCTTGCCTTCCTAGGTTGACTAATTTCAGGGGACTATGAGCATCTCTCAAAATGTCCTGTAATTGTGGTGGGTCATCTGTCCTCTTGATCAAGGAGGCTGAGGAGACCCCACCAGATGGACTTGAACCCTTGTCCAGTCTACAAAGAGGAGGGTCAACACAGAGGAATCATTTCCTCTATGCTCCAAGCGAAGCCAGCCATGGTCGAGCAGAAACTATGACTTTTCTTCACATAGGCAGAACTGGTAAAAGAAAGGAGTCAGGGGCATCTCCAAACCTGTGGTGACCCCTTAATGGCTTTAAGAGTAAAAATAAATTGGTTTATCTGGGCCAACTGTATGGCCTTAAACACCCAAAAGGAAAGTATAACCAAAGATTAAAGGGGCCAATAATTTCTTGAGTCAATATGCATAGCTAAAGGTTACATAACAAGCAACAATGCCAGACAGGTGATACCTTCTTTTGAGTTGTTGGCCAGGGTGGCCAAAGGGACTCTGAGATAGTAACCCAGCATAGAACTGGGAAAATGAACAGCAGACCCCTGTCTTATCTAAAGGAATATTGACAACTGATTGCTGCTAGATGAGGAACCTGACCTTCCTAAAACAAAGACCTCTAGGCTGACTTGATTCACCAGATGGACAAGTAGTGGGGAATGGCTGGGGGTGTCGACAACACAGCAGACAGTAGCAGAGATATCAGAGTATATCTCCCCTACTAGCAGGGCTCTAGTAGAGGGGAGGGAGGCTATGGGAGGGTGCCATCTGGGAAATGGGTGTATAGTTGAATAAGATGGTTAGGGATGTTCTGTGTGATACACATACACACACACACACACACACACACACACGAACAAATTTTTATAAATGCATTATATTTGAGGAGGAAGCATGGAAATTTACATCATGCTAATTAGTAGAGGTGATGAACATTACCATTGAAATCTACCCGACAACTTTATAGACATACACAGGCGCCAAGGATCCAAGTGCAACCGATTATGAATAGTAATAATCAGATAAATACAGATTAGAGATACATGCGCCAATATCTCAGTGTTAGGACCAAAAACAATGAGTCTTTCTGCAAGGAACAATATATTCTAAAATGAAATGGAGATCTTTTTTAAAGGTTAAAAACTCATTCAATTTTATGCCTTACAGGGCTTATACTGAGTTCAATATTGTATAATTGTATTAATTCAGCTGTGAACCTAGAAACTTGCACCCACTTGTGAAAGAGATGTACTCTTGCTCTGGAGCGTGTTACTGAATATATTAGAGCTGTAGTGAAATGCTTCTTCTAATCATGTAGTTATTAAAAAGTTAAAAAATGATTAAAAAATAATTCTTCAAAGTATAAAAATTTGCTCCTTAATAATTAGTAGATGTGAAAAAAATTACCATTGAAATCTACCTGATGACTTTATATCCATGCTCAGATGCCAAGGAGCTCAGAAAGTAACTGACAGTGACTAGTAATAATCAGATATATAGAGATTAGAAATGCATGTGCAAACATCTTAATGTCAATTGCATTAAAATTGAATTTTTCTGTATGAAACTGGGTATTTTAACCATACAATGGAGATCTTTTATAAAGGTTAAAACCTCATTTAATTTTATGTCTTATAGGGTTTATACTGAGTACAATATTGTATAACTGTAATAATTCAACTGTAAACCTAAAAATTTACAGGCAATTTTGAAAGAGATGCATCTTAGCTCAGAAAAGTGTTGTACTGCTTCTTCTAAGTATGTGGTTATTAAATAAATAATTTTAAAAAAAGAAGAGCCCGGTCCCAGAAACAGGAAGAAATCAAACAGTTGGTATGTACCATCCTCTGTGCTGCATGCTTTATTTCTTATTTAATGCTCAAAATGATCATATTGCAAGAAACACAATCTCTATTTTCCAGATAAGAAATGTAAGGCTTGAATTTTGAGTTAACATGGGCTAACTCTGTCTTAGCTCTGCAATAAGAACCAAGGCACACTAGCAGGACAGTTTTAACATGGAGTTAATGGAAGATGTTTTAAAAAGTTCACATGATGTGGCTAGAGAGATGACTCAGTGGATAAAAGTGCTTGCCACTCAAGCATGAGGAACTGAGTTCAGATCCTAGCACCCATGTTAAAAGCTAGGCATGGTTATAAGTGAGCCTGTAGCCCTGGCATAGTTGTGAAAGCAGAGGCAGGAGGATTTCTGGGGCTTGTTGGCAGTTAGCCTAGCTCCAGGTTCAGTGAGAGACCCTGTATCAAAGGAGTAAGATGTATAGTGACAGAGCAGGACATTCGATACCCTCCTGTGGCCTCCATGTGCACACACATGCATGTGCACATATCCTACACACACACACACACACACACACACACACACACACACACAGATGCATAGTTCACGTGATATTCTAAGATGAAACACAATAAAACCAAACCAAGAAAACTTACTCTTGGACCTGGTGCTCCAGGTGGACCCTACAGCATAAAACAAAGAAATAGTTAGAAAGACATCTCATACCAGGCAACTGGATAGTAGTCATCAATGGCAAACAGATAAAAATAGAAATGAACTCACTGGAGGTCCAGGTTGACCCCTTGGTCCTTGAGGACCCTACAAGAAATGAAGACAGAGCACATTATACATACAGCTTGCTCTTGATTGGGTGTAAACAAGAGAACCAGGGTCCAACCTATACCATTGCCTCCTTGCCTTAGGCAGATCATATGATTAAAAACTGTTTTAATATTTAGAAGTTCTGAACTATCACCCACATTTATGAACAAACTGAAAATTTGCTTCTCTCGAGCAACTAAATTTACTCATTTTAATACGTGATTATAAGTTAAAATAAATTATGTTAAAATGTTAATACTGTTATTTCTGTCTTCCACCCACCTAAACATCAGAGCTAGAAACTTCTCTAAACATCTCCAAAATTCTTATTCTTCGATGCAAATCATGTATTATGATCCAATGTCTGTGTCCCCAACCGCTGAATGTAGGTTGAAGTTCTAATTTCTGACCTGATGGTGTTTAGAGATAGGCTTTTGAGAGGCAATTAGTCATGAGGGTGGAGCACTCATAAACAGGATTAATGCCCTTATGTAAAGAGGCAGCAAGGTGACCTGTCTCTTCTGTCAGGATGCAGGAAGAAACCAGCATTTTGTCAACCGGGAAGAGACCGATATCCAGTATGCTAAGACATTCTGCTTAGTATCTGGAAATGTAGTCATCTCAGCAGTGAAATGACTCTGTGGCTGTTATTTAGAGGTAAAGTACAAACTTCTTAATCGTTTGGAGAGCTATTATTTACTGAGCCCTTAGCATGTACTGTTATGTGCTATATTTCCATCGTACACATCAGAGAATGGAATGGTTGAGTAACTGTGAATAAATCTGTTCTTCGTCGTTCCATTCTGTTGCCTCTCCTCCACTGTGTGGCCCTCTTTTCCATTTTCCAACACATCATCTATAAACACTAACTCTTCCCCCTCCTTCCTTCCCTTCTTTTTTCCCTACAGGTTCTTTCTCTGCAGCTCAACTGGCTTTAAACTCCCCATCCTCCTGTGCTAGCCTCCTAAGTACAGGGGTTACAGGCATGTCCTGCCATACTTGGCAACCTATGTTCTTTCATACATGAATTTTCTTGAATGTACTGTTTTCTTAACCAGGAATGCTCCTTCCTGCCTGTTCTGCTGAAGGCTTCTTTCTCTCTCAATGCTTGGAAACTCTAGATCTACTACCTGCTGCTCCACTTCCCTTCACTATTTCTTTTTCTGTATTACAGAGAACACAGCACTGTGGAAGTTCCTAAGGGCTTTTTAATTTTCTGGAATAAGAATAGTATCTAATACGCAATAGATAGTCAATAGTTCTTTGTTGTTGTTGCTGTTGTTGTTGTTTTTCTTTTTAGACAGGGTCTCCCTGGAGTCCCAGATGGCCTGGAGCTTGCTAGTAGATCAGGTTGGCCTCAGTCTCACAGAGATCTGCCTGCCTCTGCATCCAAGTGCTGGGAGCAGTGGTGTGTACCACCATGTCCAGCACTTATTCAATAATTCTTACTAAGTAGTCAAATTCATGAATAATGTTAAAAGCAGTATTATTTAGAAATTAGGAAGGTTGAATATGTACAGTAAAATGTCAAAAGCTATGCTGACATTTTCAAAATGAGTCAACAGTAATCACTGTTGAGGCCTTATACATCTGCTTAAAATTAACTTACTTGATGGTGAATTGAATGTTAACATTGAGTCAAACTCTGATTTTGGTTAAAAGATGGCAGAAGGAAGAATTACTCTCCAGCTGTTTTCCAATAATGCCAACACTATGATTGACTTGGCATTTAGGGTCTTTTATTGCCAAAGATGCTAATCTTAGTCCTAATGTGACAACTAGAATAAATAACACATAGGGACTTAAAAAAAGAGAGAGCACTCTCACACTGCCTAACAGACATTTCATAGTTTGCATGGTCTATGTTTGCCATTTTAAGTAGACAGTGCAAAAAACTTGTCCTCATAAGCTGCAGGATATGTTGAAAAAATGCCATATTAGAGGTAGCCTAATTTAAAATTATGCAGAGATTAGAGTGAATTTAATCCATTCTGGAACAGCACTACAAAATTAATAAACAGCTGTGCTATTTAATCACCTAGTGTGTTTCTGACATTTACAGAACTCTCTGATGGTTCAGTACAAACTATCTTATACTTGACTCTGAAAGGAATGTACCATAGAAGAGTGAACACACTATTCCTGCTGCTGATTTTACTAAATTCTTTTCAGCTTGTTCCTTAGTTCACCACAAATATGATCACATGCAAAAAGACAGGCCAGGGCAACATTAATGTAAGAATGGCATGGAACAGATCAAGTAATCAAATAAAACAAATTATAATTCCAGCCACAAAACATGTTATAAGTTCTCTCTTATTCTTCTGGTAACACACCACTAAGAAGTTATCAACTCTCTGCTGTATAAAGCACTTTATAATAAAACTGTCATTGTCTATGGTTATTTTGTAAAGGGGAGCCACATTCACAGAGATGGCTATGGTAGTTGGTTGGGTGGTGGTAGAGAAAGTATTGCCTTCAAATCACGGCAGCTTTCTCTGTTTAATCCCAGACTTTACATATGAGCCTCTAAAAGTAACACAGCTTATTATTTGATTTCAAAAACCAGTAAGCCAGGCATGGTGGCACATGCCTTTAATCCTAGCACTTAGGAGGCAGAGGCGGGCGGATCTCTGTGAGTTCAAGGCCCATCTGGTCTACATAGCAAGTTCCAGGCCAGCTGGGGCTACAGGGAGACCCAGTCTCAACAAGTCCAAAAATGAATAAGAAAATAATAAACAAACAAACAAATAAATAAATAAATAAATCAGTAAGTACATGACTATGAATCTGAGTATGTTAGACTTTTTCTCATGTAAATTCCTTTCCTATTTCATTTCCTTTGCAACCCTTATTTGCCTCATGGGTTGTCTCAGCCTGGCTCAGTTTTAGAGTTGCCTTTGCCACATGTATAAATAGAGAAGTTTCCATTATAGGATGTCTAGTCTCTATGTACTAACTGCCACTAGCAATTCTGTCCTTCTCCCCAGTTACAACAACCAACAGTGTCTAGCCTTTGCCAAATGCCTCTTGAGGGCCAAGGGACAGATGGCTTTTGTGGAGACCACTGTTTCAGAGGGCTTAATTATGAGCTTACTAATATTAAATAAGATTTTTCTTAGACATTAATGTAGTTAGAATTCAGTCAGTGATTTAGAAGGCACTGGACATGATTGTAAACCAGAAAACTGTTCTTCAGGCTGCCATGTGGGTGGCTGGGTGACTCTTGCAATAGGTTCCTGAGTGTGAGGATTAAAGGTATGTGCCACCATGCCTGGCTCTTGTTATAGGTTCCTTACCCAGCCTCTGCCTCCTAAGTGTTGGGATTAAATCTGAAATTCTTAACCAATATTTTTGTGCATGACCTCTTTCCCAGTTACAAAACATGAGGAATACATTTGATTTTGTAAAAGGGCTTGAGACTGGAGAGATGGCTCATCAGTTAAGAGCACTACCTGCTTTTCCAGAGGATCAGAGTTTGATTCCCATAATTCATGTCAGGTAGCTCACAACTATCTGTGACTCTAGCTCCAAGATATCTGATCAACCTTTGGAATCAGAATCTTTGTAAAGTCAGTGCCAGCCTGGTCTACATAGAGAGTTCCCGGCCAGCCAACACTACATAGTTAAATCCTGTCTCAAAACAAGACAAAACAAAACAAGAATTTCAAATTTGAAATTTGTATGGATGTAAAGGGAATTTGTACTTGAAATAAAAGAGTAATTCTTTGTTTGGATATGTTGTACTATCTAGGAGTTTCAAAAAGAAATATGCACCTATTTGTTTTAAATTCTTAACTTTAAAAATGTATGACATGTGTTCACAAAATCTTACTTTTTCTTATAATGCTTAAGCCAGATTGGAAGCAGTAAGTTAATTCAGATATTAAAAAATTATAAAGCCCCATTACCTTAGGGGAATATTTGACAAAATGTCAATGGAAGTCTTTATTATTATACTAATTTTCATTAAACAATAATAATATATTATAAAATGAAGCAGCCTACCTAAAATTTATGCTAAAATTTCTTTCTTTATATTTCTCCTACTTCTGTGGCTTGAAGTTATGTTTCCAATTATGACATTCTGCCAAAATACTTTCAGAAGAGTGAACCACAATATTATTTCTGGTATAAGTTAACATCTTACTGTTTTAATAACTGTATTCCATTATGGAAATGCTCTTTAAATTTTTCCTCAAATTAATTGTGCTTTAAACATGTTTTGGAATCTCAGGGAAATCAGGAAAATTTTAAATCTTTAAAGATTAATTTACCCCAAATACAAGTTTTGAAGTTGGGGAAATGAGAAAATTCTATGATAGTTGTGAGCAGGTTTGTTAGGATGCCCTAAAATTCTGTCTCTGTTTAGAGAATATATATGAGTTCGGGGACTTAAAAAAAATAATCCCACTGACAGTCGGACATGGAACAAGTATAGATTAGAAATCTCTCTTATATGGAAATACAGAAACAGTTCCCTCACTGCCAGAAAGGACTAGACTCAATATGAGAATTTATAGTATTATACTGTAGAAGAGATAAGAAGCTTCCATGCTAAGGAATCTAAATTTATGATAAAGGCCACAGCTTCTCTAAGATGATATTTGAGCAGAGATCTGAATATTGCAAGGACAGTCATTTGATGAACAGGTGAAAGGAATTCCTGGGAAAAGGAAGGCATATCCCAAAGAACAGAAAGAATCGAGTTCCACTGTGAGGAAAAGTGCTACATCTTGAGACTGGAGAGGAAATGGAGTTTAGTTCGTGTGGGCTCTTTAAATCCAAGGAAGCAGATTAGATTTTATTCTGGGTGCAACACAAAGTCAGGGAAGATTTAAAGAAGACAGTCATATAATCTGATTTGTGCTCTAATAGCTTCATTTTAGTCCTTAGAGAATGGACTGCGGGGGTGGGGTGGGGGAGGCGTGGACTCAATGAGAAGATGCTCAGAGTTAGGGGTATTACCATCGTAATATGGACAAGTTGTCAGTGACAAAAATGAGAGAAGTGGAAGGTTTTAATAGGTTACAGGTAAGATGGGAACTAACCTCTGCTTTAAAGAGCTCACGGTTAGATGATATACCTTTTAAAATTTCTTTTGTAGGGGGTTTACTTATGTTCCTTTTGTGTAGAATCACAGAATCTAAGATCTGCCAGGGACTCGAAGATGTTTCTTCTAGTTCAGTGCAAGAATATTAGCCCAATAACTCTAAGAGATGGCTGTTAAACTCCCAGTGGCAGAGTTTACTATCTTATAAAAATACTTCGCATTGCAGTCCATTGTTATATTAGACAATTCATTATTAGAGCAAGCTGAAATCAGTCCACTATGCTGTCATTTAGTTAGTATTTATTGTGTGCTCATTATGGGCCAGGTGCTATGGATTGGGGACTATGTGTTATGAAAAATGACAAGTAGGACTGGACCGTGTGAACTATATACCATGTTCTCTTGGAACTCACGCTCAGGAAACTGAGCCTAAAAACTGAAACAGAACCCTCCAAAGAAATGACTTAAATCTTGTCTTCTGCAGTTACTCCTACTTATCATTCATTTATAATTCTTTATGCATTGAATGCCAACTATAAGAGGTATTTTCAGGGATTGGGGAGGGGGGGTCAGACTGTTAAGCCAAACAATAGAAATGGAACATCAGCTTCATGGGTCCTGCACTCTAGTGAGGGACTTAAAAAACCAAATGGAATATACCAAGTAGCAAGGAAAGGTAGGAAAGATACAGTTTCAGGAAGGTGGGGACATTCCCATTACAGAGAGTTGAATCACCTAGAAGCTTGAGGCACAACTCCGGGCATATCTGTGAGGACATTTCTTGAGAGGATTAACTGAGGAGAAGATTAACAGAGTTGAGGGGCAGGAGTGGTGGGGACTGATTTTGAATGGGCTGGGGGCTAGTAATATAAAAGGAAAAAGTGGAGAAAGTTAGCAGAGTTCTAGTATGTTCACCTTTGCTTTCTGTCTACTGTGATGTGAACAGCTGGTCTCCATCACAATCTTCTGCAGACATGACATTCTGGTCAAGTGTGTTGGATTAAGCAATCATGGACAAATTAAATTTTTCCTCCCTTAAGTTGTTCCGTCAGGTATTCTGGTCACAGTCACCTAATATGACTTATGATAAGAGGCCACTGAAGCAAAGAATGAAAGCATAGACTGTAGTCGATCCTGGGAACTAGCTGTTATTTCCAGGTGTGCCCAATATATCAGCATGCCCAGACTTAGCAAATGGTCTTTGAATAGGAATGTCAAGAAGAACAGAAACAGAGAGATTTAAAAGTAAAGAAGTACTTGGTGCAAAAACCAGGAAGTGAGGAGATGGCAGATGGAACAAGGAGGGGGAGGGGTCAGGCTACAGAATCTAAACATCCCAGATATTTCGACTAGTCTTTCCAGGACCTGGCTCTTAGATCCATCACCAGTGTGAGAGAGTCCTTCGGTGAATTGGTTTCAACTGTGTCTTTTTGGAGGGAAGCCCTTCCTGGTACCGTAACTTGCTTTATTCTGGATGCCATGTTGCTATCAGAAACCTAAGATTACACTCAATCCAGCAAATCAAGTCCATTTTTTTTCACATGAAATGCTTATGACCTTCCTGCATTATGATTTTGCCAGAGGCTCATTGGGTTTCCTGGTCTTGTAGATGTTGATATTCTGGCCGTGGTACTCGGGGAGGGTTAGTCAGGCATGCAGAGCTAGGGAGGTACAGGAAATGAGCTATGTCCAACCTGCTTTTCATTCTCACTTTCGTCCTGCTTGGGAGGCAGGACTTCCTGTCTGTACATGTTCTTACTTCCTCTTATATTGTCCGTTGGGAAAAAGTAATTTAATGCACGTGACCTTTTGGCATTCTTAGGCTATCTAAAGTCATGTGTTTCCCCCTTTCAGTTAATTAATATATATGTGACTCATTTCACTTCCCAAGCACACCCTAACATGACCTCTCGGTCTCCCTTGTTCGCTCCATGCTGGCTCTCTGTTCATGGGGAACACTGTATTATGTTCAGCAAGAATCCTATGCTACAATGGTAGGTTTTAGATGTTTTTACCACAGAACCCAACCAAACAAGGAGCACTTAAGTGAGATGAAGGATCTGTTCATTTGCTTCACTGTGCTAATCTTTTTATTACCTATACATATCTCAAAATATCACACTGTATACATATGCACATAAAATTTTTTAGAAATTTTATTTATTATTTTATGTGTATGTGTGTATTGCCTGCATGTAGGTAAGTGCACCCATGTCCTACAATGCCCGCAGAGGCCAGAAGAGGCTGTTGGATCCCCTGGGACTGGAGTTACGGACAGTTGTTAGCTGCCATGTGAGTGCTGGCATTTGAACCCGGGTCTTCTGCAAGAACAACCAGTGTTCTTAACTGCTGAGCCATCTCTCCATAAAATTTTTATTAAAAAGAAAAAGGATGCCTGTAATCCCTGCCCTCAGGAGGAGGAGGCAGAAGATTGAAAACTTGAAGCTAGCCTGGGCAACACAGTTGGAGCCTGTCTGGAAACAGACAAACAGAAGTTAATGCTTTTGCTTCTCCCTTGTAGTCCTTGTTAGTGCTGGCTGGATGTAGGGTGTATATGAACAGGACCTAGCAGGGCTCTTGCTTGGACACTGAAGAAGACCCATCTCTCGCATGTTTAAAAAGGCAAACACCACCATGCACACAGTAATCTGTGTGCAGATCCTTGAACACATTTTGACTTATCAGATTCTATTGCAATGTGCCATTATTCCATTTGTTGATAACTATAATTTTATTTTTATTCCACAAGTATCAGAAACATTATTGTGAACAAATCTAACAGTCTTTAATGTCATGGAGCTTATTGCCTCAAAATAAGGGGAACTGTAATAACAAGTTTCATTATTTAATTAAACTTACAGTTTCACCTTGAAAGCCTTTTTCACCTCTGGGTCCCTGAAGGGAGGAAAAAAAGAGATGCTAGTTCAGTGCTGTGGACAGTTACTTGTTAAATGTAGCTGAGGTTGTACACACATACAACATTTTGTGGCTTTGCTTTTACTATCTAGGGAGATTTGTTAATTTATATGCATTCTAGTTTTCCTGAACACTGTAAAACAAAACCAGAAACCAAAACCAAAACCAAACAAACAAAAAACTGGATTCTGTCTGGTGACTACCACAGCTCTACCTTACAGTAAGAATTTACAAAGGAAATTCTAACAAAGCTAAAATCTTTTACGTTTTAAATTTATTTCTATTGGCTTTGAGAATCTTGCATCTAGAGTAATTTCTTTGTTCTCTTTCATCTTCTTTCTATTACCCTTTTTATTTTATTATTGGGGTGCGTGTGTGAGTGTGTATGTGTATGTATGTGTGGTGTGCATATGTGTATGTGTGTATGTGAACACCTGTGGAGGTTGGAGGAAAATAGGGAGTTCTCTTTCTACTTTGGAATCTGGAGCTTGAACTCAGTTAAGCTGTTCTTTATTAATTTTTATTTTATTTTGGGAATTCTTTTCTATACAAAATAAAAATTCAAGGTTTAAATATGTTTTATAGTTTTTAAAATACTTTTCAGACTTCTAGTCTCATCCAGAAGATCTCTCCCACCTGTAAGCTGTGCTTTGGCTTTTTAGATTATTTTTCTATGCTTTTTTCCATTTCTGGCATTAATGTTTACTAGGGTTTAAAAATGGATGAAATGGGGCTCCAATTTCTTTCAGTACTAATGGTACCCCAAATAATTCCCTCTCTCTTTTCTGCCATTGTTGTAAGAGTTGCACTTACACTGCACTTCCTATAATGTGACATAAATTCCCCACTGTTAATGAACAAGGGCTAGTTCCAGCTAAAATCACCCTGCTCCAGAATTCTTGTTACATTAAATTATATCATGTTCATAAGCTTAATTCTGGGCTCTAGTCTGTTACATCAATCTAATTGTTTATTTCTTTTTACTACTAAGTAAGTTCATTTGCAATGAATTTGTAGTCTCATTGTTTTCTTATTTGGAAAAACAAATCCAACACTGCCCCACCTCCACTGTTTTTCTCACAATATTTTTTCTATGTGTGATTTTCAAATGCCTATTTCTCATAATGAAGTTTTCTTCTTAGAATGGAAAAAAATAGAATATGGAAAAAATTTGAAAAAAATTTGATGTGCATGGTGAACAGTATAATGACTTTTAAGAACTATCTTATAAACAAAGCACAGCAAGATGTTTTAATTGAGACATTTCTTTATCACATTTTCCTTGACCAATTAATACTTCACATTTTTGACAGTGGAGAACAATCATTCCATAATCAGAACAGTGTGTGCTGAGAACCGCCCACTGAAATATGAGAACTTGCCCGCCCACAGGCCTATGTAGCTCTGAGGGGTAGCACTGAAAGCCAAGGGAGTGAGTTACACATTTTCTTTCTTTTGAATAAACCCCAGTAACTTTGGTGTCACATTCCCTAAATTCATCAAAGAGAATAGTTGTCCTTAAGACTTGAGGCTTCCCATTTTCATTTTTTATCAAATTTTTGCCAATTTCATACAATATATTTTAATCATGTTTAGATGCTCTCCCCTATCTCCACCCCTCTTAAAAATTCCTGCCCAATTCCAGTATGGCCTAACAAGTCAAATTTCCATCTCCAAATGCTCTTCAGTGTGGGTCCATCCTCTGGAGCATGGTCAACCTATCTCCTAAGGATCAGACTCTTGAAGGAAACCAACTGTCCCTCTCCCAACAGTTACCCATCACCCATAATTCCTCAGCTAGGGTTGTAGTGTTTTCCCCCTCTTCCCCGTTTCTCCCCTTCTATGCTGGGATTTTGTCTGGTTTGAGCTTATGTGGGTCTTGTGCACTTTTAAATGATTCAGAAAATATTGTTTCCCTGAAGGCAACGAATCTTTCCTCTCCAAGTCTCAGTTTCACCCTCTTATTTACATGTTACCAGTATTGCAAAACATTCCCCAAACACCCTCTCAGCCAGTGTCTTATTTCTTTCTTTTGTTTCAGCAACAGATTTCTTACAGCCCTGGCAATATGCTGACTCAACTTCCTCGCCAGATATGGATAGAAGGCATAGAAATATCATCTATGTAATTCACTGGGTCCATTACCTTGAGTAGCCAGGTGAACTGCTATAAACTCCATCTATTAAATGGAAATAATACCTACTCTAACAGTTGTTACAGCAATTTGAGAAATGTTGGGGTAAATAACACAAAACAGAAGTAAAAAATAATTTGAGAAAAGTTATTTAAAATATAAAATAACACATTTTCATATTCTTCTTTCTTCACTGTAAGCTGTAATGTGACTGTTTTCTCTAAGGTCATGTTGACCATTCTAACCTTACATCGTCCTGATTTTCTTCCTGGTCTTACCAAAACATCTTTCTTTTACTAAAGACTCAAATTTTGGTGGTCTGCACTTCTTTGCTGTGTATGTTCCCTCCTTCAAAAGAAGGATCCATTTGTGTATCTTTAATAATCATTTCCACGTGAATGACTCTCCCCCACCCCTACCTGCCTCAGTTTGTGCCCTTTCACCATTCAAACCTTCTTTATGACTACATGATTCCTAGGAATGACCTTCCAGAAGGAAATACGTATCTTTTTTTTCCCTTTAACTTTGCTTCTCAAATACTCAGGTGAAGTCTCTTGTGGACTATTCTAGAAGCAAGAATTTGAAGAGGCTAAAAAAGAATAAAAACGCTGTATTGTGACAAACTTACAGTTCTACCTGTTGGACCTATTATGCCTTCTCTTCCAAGAGGGCCACTGTTTCCCTGTTGGGGGTAAAGAAAAACAGTCAGTTTCATTCTTAGTATAATTGAAAAAGAAAGAAAAAACAAGAAAGCACATGGTGTGGTGAAGTGGCTGTGTGTACATAGTTGATTTTTGTAATGGCCTTATAATATTAGCATACATTTTAGTAATTTTAACAGCTTGTGATATGATTGTACATATTACCACAGTCTTCTGTCAAAAGAGCTGTAAGTATATAATTATTATTATTATTATTATTATTATTATGTCTTTTTGAGACAGGGTCTCCTTGTAGTCCCAGCAAATGTTCAGGTGCCGAGAAGTCTATGGGTATATTTTGTATGTATGCCATTACATAACAAATGAAAGTACCTTATGTAAAAGCAACAGATCAATGACCACATTTTTGAATAAATATCTGTGCAGATGGTGAAGGAACAGATGCTTGAGTGAAATAAAGCCTAGTAGAAGCAGGGGCATCATATACAGCCAGCCAAACTTCAGGTTCTTCTGTAAAACAGGGCCACTGTGGTGCTGAATATGAAAAGTGCTTTAAAACTGTAAGCTGTTATCTGATTGAAGATATCCCCAAATAAGCTGGATATCTGGTAAATTCCTTTCAAAGCACATATGTAGTCTGCCATTTCTCAATACTCATTTTAAGTTTTTTCCTTATCAAGTTCTATTCCTACTTCTACTGACATTGAATTTCTCTTTCAAGTTCACAGTTGGTCTGGAATACATAGATGTAAAGACTTAACAGGTATTCCACAACACGCAGAGGTAGAAAGAATATTCTCAATTGAAACATAATGTAAGTGTGGTCCATTGACTGGCCTGCAACAAGATAAATTACCCAGGTAGACTAAATGAAATGGAATCACTTTTTAAGCACAAAGATCAACTTTAACAATTTATAAATATGACACTTAAAATTTAAAGATCTATAATTAAATAAAGAAACTTGATATTTTAATTTCATTGAATGTAGCCTCTAATTTGGTTATCACTAAGGAATGTCAGGGAGCTGGAGAGATGGCTTAGTGGTTAAGAGGACTGGCTGCTCTTGCAGAGAACCCAGGTTTGATACCCAGCACCCACATGGTGGCTAACAACTGTCCGCAACTCCATGTCCAGGGGAATCCAACACCTTCTGACTCTTAGGGCATTGCACTTCAGACAATACACTCATACAAATAAAATAAAAATAATAAATAAGTAAATAAATGTCAGGAATACTTTAACTGTGACATAAGTCTTTCAAATAATAATTTGTTCAAAGAACAGAAAGGTATACATGGATACTAGAAAAAATAGACCAAAAGTGTTAATGATTATTTATGCTTATCTAAATGTTCTAAAGAATTGGTGCTATGATTTAAATGGTGGATATTAGTTATCTACTAAGTATATTTTTGAAATGAAGTACAGTAAAGCCAGATTTCCTAGTTTAAGAATTCTTATTTTTGCAAGCACCCTGTAACATACAATTTGGTGAATCAGATAGGGATCTGGGGTCTGTTCTGCTCTTAGACTAGCAAAATATGGTTTGAACTTATTTTATAAAATTTAGCTTCCCAAGCTGAAAAGTGGGGTAACAGCATCTCTTATGACATTGTTATGAGAATTAAATAATATGAGTCACAAATTAGATGTTAGTAACTGGTTTTTCTTAATCCTAAATACCAACCTATCAAGACTTTTTACTTGTTTCCCATAAATAAGGCTCTTACAAGCTTTTTCTTTTTTTCCAAGTCTTGCTTCTAAATCTGTAGTTGTGAACTCTTTACATGAATTTTACTCTAAAGGAGCTGATGAAAGTAATGGACCTACATAGTCATATAGGCTCTAATCCATATTTCATGAACCCCTGCTTAGGACAGGGGCCAGGCAGGCAGCCAGCCTCTCTTTGACAAGATCATGAAAAGGTTCAGTTGAGAACTTAACAAAACTTGAATACATGGATTTAATAGAAGATGAACTTAATGTAGATAAGAACTTTCATTTTATAGTAGCCTATTCATATATAATATACCATAGATAATCTTCATATAACAGCACACACTTTCCTTAATTTTTCAGAAATCATAAAATGAATAAACTTATATCTGAAAAAATGTTGAGGAGGATCTTTAAACAAACAATTCCCATGACGATACTGTTCTTTGTTGTATTGAAAATAGCTTATTGACAGAGTTAGGGAGGGGTATAGAATTTTAGGAATCTGACTTAATTCACTATTTTGTGCAAAACAGTGGTTTGAGTTGCAAAGCTCTTAGGGAGTCCTTCCTCCCGCTTCTGAACTGCATCCTTTCTCCCTCTGGTCTGTCCACTCTAGCCTTGGCATGTGCCATGAACTGTGGGGTTGTTAATGATTACAGCCAAATCATCGTCTGAAGTTTTAAAACCTTTTTCATTTGCATTTCATAGATCATCTCTCATTGTGATAGTGTGATTAATAAAAACGAAAACAAAACAAAGCCAGCACTAACCAGGACTACTGCTGGCTTGTTTACAGTCCCCACATCTGGCAACTACAAGCACTAAAAGGCTAATTAAAGTTCTCTAGCCCTTGAGTTTTGAAACTCTTTCAGCAACTGTCATCACTCTCTAGGGACACCTGCTTATGAACAGAGAAAACACAGCTACAGGGAAATAATTTTCAAATGTGGTCTGAAGAGGTCTGGTCGGACACAAGCCTCCTCCAGGTGGTGTGTGTGGGTAATGTCTGGACACTGGTTGTGTTAATGTGTACAACACAAACTGCTTTATGCTTTTGTTCCTGAGGGCGGGTTAGCACATACACTGTCCAGGCTTCACAGTTGTTCTTATGATGATTTTCTTTAAAGAGCTGAGAAGTACTGGGTGGCCTACGTGGCATTTTGCTCAAGCTAATTTATGAGCTGAAAGGCTGAAGGCTTCATGGGCTCTTGTGAGTTTCTATCTTAAAAATCGCCTTATTAAGCTATTAATTTGAAGTATATTAATTTAGAGTTCTGCAATAAGCAAAGAAAGAGGTTTGGGGTGCAGGATGACTATACTTACTCTCGGCCCAATGGGACCTTTAGGACCTGAAATTCCAACAACACCAGCATCCCCGTCAGGACCCTGGAGATACAATGAAAAAGAAAAAAGCCAATAATTTTAGCCGTTTGTAAATGCCTCACAAATGAAATTAATCTTGTATCAGCCTAGCAAGGGTTATCAAAAACAGCTCTTAAAATGGGAACAAGAAAAAAATCATACAATAAAATTAACAAAAGGCACAGTTATATGGATTTTACTTTATTAATTTTTTTGTGTGATATGTGTGTGTGTGTGTGTGTGTGTGTGTGTGTGTGTGTGTGAGTGGGTGTGTGTGTGCCATGGTGCACATGTGGGAGTAAGAAGACAGGTGTTGTCTGTCTTCAATCTTGTTTGAGACAGTATTTGTTCACTGCTGTATAGGGCTCCCAAGCTTTGAGTGATTCTCCTGTCTCCTCCCACCATCTCCCTGTAGGGGGCACTGAGATTACAGACACTTATGTGGCAAGTGCTTTATCCAAGGAGCCATCTTCCCAGAACTATTTTAAGTTTTATTTGTGACAAGGTCTCAGCCCAGGCTTGCTTTGAACTCTGGTCTGCCTGCCTCAGCCTTCTGAGTGGTAAGAAAACAGCTATATACCACCAGGCTCAGCAATTACATGTAGTTTGAAATTAACATTTTCAGAACTTAGACACACGATTATACCAATCACAGTTTAACAAATTAAAGAAAGCAGAGCTCAAGTCATAGACCAAACATTGATAATTTCAACATCTCTATTTCTCTAGAGAGGAATAGGACTATCAGAAAATATAGAAACATACTCTAGGGCCTGGGAATCCTTGGAAACCTGTTAAACCTGGATCACCGTGTTCTCCCTGCAAGGCAAACACATAGGAGAATCATTACTGTGCAGTGCATCCCGGTGTGCGGAATAAGTGCTTTGTGAATTTCTGAGTTGGCACATACAGGTTGCCCTTTTACACCAGGTTTTCCATGTGGTCCTTGATCACCTTGTGCTCCTTGGTGACCTCTTTTACCTGGAATTCCAGGTTGACCAGGTAACCCTTGTTCACCCTATAGACAAAACAAAGAACGGTGATCTTGACTTCAGAACTTATGAACATATGAATAAAATCCAAACACATAACCAGCTCTGAGAACAGCACAAGACACTGGGGTTGTCGAATACAGCATTGTGCTCCTCCACACCAGTATTTTCCATACAAGCAAGATTTGATCATAGCGAACAGGAAACGTAGCAGTAGGAAAAGAAAATTCCATGGATTGGAGTAATATGTGGAAGGAAGAGGGAAGGAGGGCACGGGGCGGGGGGTGGGGCTAGAGAGGTGAAGTTGTGTTGTGTGTGTTGAGTGTTACATGAGATAGAATGTGCTTTGTATTTAAACCATCATTTTGCTGTGCTTTCCCTGTCTTCCAGAGATGCTTCAGCAACGTGATACCAGAGATGGAGCAGTTTCCCAAGGTACGGCCCCTGACTGTGCCATAATTACCATCTCAATCCCACTAAGAATTTCTACGAGCTATTTTCTTGGTTCCATTGTTTCCTGAAAGTTAATTTTAATGATATACTTAGCTACCATATTAAATTTTGAAAGCCAAGTTTTTGTTTTTCTGTCTTTTTGTGACAGCGTCTCCCTGTAGCCCCAGCTGGCCTGGAGCTCGCTATGTAGACCAGCTGGCCTTGAACTCAGAGTTCCGCCTGCCTCTGAAGGCCTGCATCATCACACCCAGCTGAAAGTCAAGTATTTTAGTCAAATATTTTCATTTGTTTTTGAAATTAGATTTGGAATACCATTTCTAAAAATTAACTTAGGAATCAGGTACATTTAAAGATAAGTTAACAAGAACAGCAGCAGCAAAATAATATTTTGCTGACTTTGGGCAAAAAGTCTTTTAAGGTTAACCAATTATCCTTTACTTTCTTCTGTTTTTTATGTATTTTATGTGTATGAGTGTGTTGTCTGCATATATGTAAGTGCACCTGTGTCATGCAATGCCACAGAGATCAGAAGAGGGTGTCGGATCCATTGGATCTGGAGTTACCAATAGTTGTTAGTCATTATGTAGGTGCTGAGAACTGAACTGGGGTCCTCTGCAAAAGCAGCCAGTGCTCTTAACTGCTGAGTCATCTCTCCTCTTTTGTTTTCTTTTTAAAAAGAGATTTACTTCATTGTTAGTTGTGTGTGTGTGTGTGTGTGTGTGTGTGTGTGTGTGTGTGTGTGTGTGTGTAAGGGTGCTTGTGGAGGCCAGATAGGGCACTGGCTCCCCCAAGACACCCAACCTGGGTGCTGAGAACTGAGCTACAGTCCTCTGCAAGAGCAGCAAATGCTCTTAATTGCTGAGTCTCTCCAGCTTCTATCCTTTACTTTCTTGAGACAAACCTAAAGTTTTTGAGTCTTGATAACTATAAATCCTTCTTACTGCAGATTTCCACATAACACTCTGGCCCCTCTCCACTGTTTTTCCTAGCTTTAGCATCTCTCAGCTGCTCAGCCCCTTTCGAGGGGCTATTCTGATGTAAATTTTAGTCTTGAAGGGGCCATTCATGATAGAAACTTTAGTAGAAGGGTAAACTGTCATGAGCAAGCAACTAGGTCATTGATTTTAGTTTGCCCATATAGGTCAGAGACCTAAGCATTCTTTAGAAGTGCAATTGTAGCAATCAAGTTAAGAGAGAATAATTACAAGGTGTCAATGTCTTAATCCAAGGCTTTTATGAAAAAGCTTTAGATATCGGACTGATCTCTAAATTTTCTGGGTCAATCCTGCAATCTAAAGAGAGATCTTGTCTGGAAAATCTGACATGCTATAATATTCCATGTGATGGACACTAATTCAAGACTCATTATCATTCTGACTCTAAGAAACAGTTGGCACTATTATCAGGCGTATTAAATGGTTGGTTAGATTTGGCTTTAGAGAAAGGAGAATGGTATTTGAGAAAGTGTGTATCTAGAAGTGCATTCAGTTTCTCTGTTTTGTAGAAGAAAGATGAGAAAGAAGGAAGAAGAACCCAAAATGAGTGAAAAAGAAACATTTAAAAGCATCTCTAGTTCTTGGTTAATGAGTTATTACCAATCATATGCATTGCAGCTATCATGACAAACATATATATATATATATCATATATTTTATTTTCCTTTCTCCTAATATATTTTCTATTAGCCACATTTTACTAAAACCTATTCATCTGTGATCTAGCCACTGTATTCACGGCCAGCAGAAATGGCCGGTCCTGCTCAAATATCAGGATACAGGAGGGAAATACCTTTGGGCCTGGAACTCCAGGACTTCCCGGTGGGCCTGCTGAGCCCTTTCTTCCTCGAGGACCTGGAGATCCAGCCAGTCCTGTTCTTCCTGCACTGCCTTTGATGCCCTAAAGAATACAGATGAGAAATGAAAACAGAACGTCAATGCAGAGGCTCAGGAAATAGAAAGGGATGTGCTCCAAGAGGCTGCTGTTGATCCAGTCAATGCCCAGGTTTGAGGACTATGCAGGCTTCATTCACACAGGAGTAAAACCTAAGAAATACTTTGGGGCCACCCACCACTTACATGAAACATCTAATCATAATTAAAATCTTGGGTTTTAAAAATGAAAACATCAAGGCAATACCAAGCCTGCCAGTACTTCTTGATTTATACAATGGAGATGTGAAGTATATTTTGCTGTATTCTCACTTAAAAAATTACACTCTGCTATGCACGACAAAATGTCTCCTCATGAATAATTTTCTATTACTCATTCAGAAAACTCTGGAAAATTCACTAAAACTAGTTGATAGAAAAGTTAAGCAAGCAAATACTATGTTCTTAAGACCAAACCCTGAATCACGTTAGGTCAACTATGGTTTGCAAGGCAAATCCAGATCTCACCTGTTTTTGTATCGCTTATAACCTGAGACTAGTTTTTACATTTTTGAATAATGGGAAAAATCAAAATGATAACGAAAATTTAATATGCAAAACCATATGAGATTAAAATTTCAGGAACTATAAATAAAGTTTTATTGGAATGCAGCCATGTTCCTTCCTTTTGTATCACCTCTGCTTTCTCTTGCGCTACAGTAGCAGAGCTGAGTCACCATGGTAGACATGGTGCCGTGTTGTGCTGTTTTGCACTGTTTGTGGTATTTAACAGACTGCAGTGAGGCTGTATTCCAAATGGAACCTATGTGCGACCTCTATTTTATTTGTGTTATCATCACATATATCTATCATGCCAGAACATGAAAAGTTGACTTTCAATGCTGAAACTTATGGGCATACTGGAATATGGATTTCTTTGTTGTCAAATTCTTGTGTTCATTATGCAGCAAGACTACAGCCATGCTTACAAGTATTTATCATACACACTGGCATTAACAGACCAAGCACACCACACAATAGTCTAACCTCACATAAATGTAAAGGCTAGAAAATTAGAAAATTAAAGAAATGGCATTTTATCACAGCAGAATTTCCACACACACACGCACACACACACACACACACACACACACACACACACACACACACGGCTGAAATGAAAATACATTTTTCAGTGTTTCCATTTGTTAGTCCAGCAAAAGATATCTCTGGTTCATGGTAACAAAATTAAACTGTGTGGCACAAATAATCTTATTCAAGATAGTTAGCCTTTTGGTAAGAATACTGTATGAAATGTTGAGCATGGTGGAGTAGAATCAACAGTAAGTACTTCTGAGTGAATTTTCTTGATCTTGATAAGTCAGTGGAAGTTTGTAATATTGCTAAGTTCCACTTGAGGGGTTGATACTGAGTTTGAAATGATGAAAAAGCTAATCCGCATGAATTATCTGTGGGGTGACTGAAAGGAAGATAACTGTTAAAGAAATTAAGAACAACAAAACTGATCACGATGGATCAGGAAGAGTTACCAGACAAGCTTACAAAGCTCGTGAGAAGGTAAGACTGAAGGACCCGACTGACAGCAGGAAGGCCATTTTAGAAAAAGAACTGTAATCAGCCATTCGATAAGCCAAGATTCTAACCCAGGTCTTGTGAAACTAGCAGTGGAAGATAGGACGTTTGCAGTCGGACCACCTGCCACCACCCTGAGGCCCCTACCGGGAAGTTAGTGATAACAGCCCCTACTGGGAAGTTAACGATAACAATCAGTTTCACCCATAGCCCCCTCTGAATTTGGCAATACTGTTTCCTCATACCTTGTACCCATTGAAATGCACTAATAATAATCTTGTAACCATGCATCTGCTTCTGTACCTTGCTTCTGCTCTATAAAAAGCCCCCCCAAACTAAGCCCGGCACGCAAGTCCTGACCCGAGCGGGACTCTGCGTCCGCAGGCGCCTGTGTATGAATAAATTCCTCTTGCTTTTGCATCCCGAAACTTGGTTTTGTCCCTGTGTGTTGAGCGCGATTCTTCAATGGGAGCAAATGATGTCAGTCTAAGTCCTTCAGAAGTTTCACAGCTGAGTTATATAACCACCCATGCATCCTTGCGATATAGGCTGTTCAACCTAGGCCAATGCAGGGGGGAGCAGGCCTTAATGGGGTGGCTGGTTGAAGGCATTAAAGATACATGGTTGTCACCAAGGGAGACTAACATGATTAGCAGGGGCTGGAGGACTATAAAGGAGG